TTATTAATATATTAATTGTGGGGTTGCTCCACAGTATTAATATATTAGAAGCCCTTGTCCTATTCTCCTTAGGATCCCTACTGTAGCTCTATATATACAGCATTAGGCTCATGGAAGAAGAGAACAATCCTATAACCTACAAATTTCGTTCGCCCCCCCTTTCTCTCTCTTCCAAGGAGTTGTTCTATTTCTTGTGCTCCGCTGATACAAGATCTAGATAGCTGTTTGAGAATACAGTAGAAGATCTTAAGGTATATACGGGATTCCAATCAAATCTATCATCCATCCAAACCGGAGAACAAAACCAGCAAGTGACCATACCACGACGACCAGGACGACGAGTCGAAGAGATCGCTGTCGAGATTGCCGCCAGCCGCCACCGCACGCGCCGACACGCGCCGCCGTAAGTTCACTGCTGCTGGGACTTGCTCGCGCACGTGAGAGCGCGTGGAAGCTCCGATTTCCGATCGGTCAACGCCGTTGACTTCGCCGTGACGCCAGCTTTCTGGATTGGTCAAGTTTGTTCGATTCTGAGAAGATTTGATTTGCTGTCATCTGTTCGGGCCAGCCAGATCTACATAAATTTTAAGTCGTAAGTTTTCTACATCAAACCTTTAGATCCGCTGCGCATAGGTTTATGTTGAATGTTTGTCCGTGATTTGTGCATATCGAGATCCTCATGGGTTCCAACAATTGGTATCAGAGCACAAGGTTAATCCGTTATGTACAAGATCCGGATTAAACGGCTTATATTGTCTATGTGTGCTCAAGCGCAGCCATACATATTGGATTATTTGCATAACTTGGTTTTGCAGGAAGTAGTTAATCCACTATTATGGCCACCCTTTTATGCGCTTGTGCTTAATTGATGGTTGGTTGTATGGTTTTAAATTTGTTTTTAAAGCCTCGGGATTGTCGAGGAATTATGGATGAATGCTTGTATTTATTACCCAGGGGTTGACCGGATAGTTTAATTTATTAGTAGAAGGCATGTACATCCACTTGTTGGATCTAGGAATTGATTTATGTAATTTTGTAAATTATATTTTTCAAATTGTGATCGACCGTTGGAGACCGGGCCTTCACAAAGATCCAAAGAGCCTCGACGGACAAAGCAAGAAAGAAACCGGAGCCGGGAGCCAAGGCTGGCCGGCGCGGCCTCGGCTGGCAGCTTGG